CAACATAAATAGTTTCATATATGTAGCATGAATTTATTAAAATAAACACCGGTCATGTATTACTAAACAGTAGTAAGTGTCGGAGTGTCACCAGGACCAGATGGTATTCACCCAAGAGTTCTGAAGGAACTCAAATGTGAAATTGCAAGACTACTAACTGTAGTCTCTAACCTATCATTTAAATCAACTTCTGTACCACATGACTGGAGGATAGCTAATATGACAGCAATTTTTAAAAAGGGCTCCAGAGGTGACCCCGGCAATTACAGGCCGATAACCCTGACTTCAGTACCGGGCAAACTGGTTGAAACGATAATAAAGAACAAAATTTGACGGGGAATAGTCAACATGTTTTTTGTAAAGGGAAATCATGCCTCACCAATCTATTAGAATTCTCTGAAGGGGTCAACAAGCATGTGGACCAAGGGGATCCAGTGGATATAGTGTATTTAGATTTTCAAAAAGCCTTTGACAAGGTCCCTTACCAAAGGCACTTAAGCAAAGTAAGCAGTCATGGGATAAGAGGGAAGGTTCTCTCATGGATTGGTAACTGGTTAAAAGAACAAGGGTAGAAATAAATGGTTAGTTTTAAGAATGGAGAAAGGTAAATAGTGGTGTCCCCCTGGGGTCTGTGCTGGGCCCAGTCCTATTTAACATATTCATAAATGATCTGGAAAAAGGGGTAAACAGTGAAGTGGCAAAATTTGCAGATGATACAAAATTACTCAAGATAGCTAAGTCCCAGGCAGACTGCAAAGAGCTACAAAAGGATCTCTCAAAACAGGGTGACTGGGCAACAAAATGGCAGATGAAATTCAATGTTGATAAATGCAAAGTAATGCACATTGGAAAACATAATCCCAACTATACATATAAAATGACGGGGTCTAAATTAGCTGTTACCACTCAAGAAAGAGATCTTGGAGTCATTGTGGATAGTTCTCTGAAAACATCCACTCAATGTGCAGCGACAGTCAAAAAAAATCAAACAGAAAGTTGGGAATCATTGAGAAAGAGATAGATAATAATACAGCAAATATCATATTGCCTCCATATAAATCCCTGGTCGCCCCATCTCAAAAAAGATATATTGGAATTGGAAAAGGGCAACAAAAATGATTAGGGGTATGGAATGGCTGCGGTATGAGGAGAGATTAATAAGACACTGACTTTTCAGCTTGGAAAAGAGACGACTAAGGGGGCATATGATTGAAATCTATAAAATCATGACTGGTGTGGAGAAAGTAAATAAGGAAGTGTTATGAGAACGAGTAAATAACACAAGAACTAGGGGTCACCAAATGAAATTAATAGGCAGCAGGTTTAAAACAAACAAAAGGAAGTATTTTTTCCACACAACACGCACACAACCTGTGGAACTCCTTACCAGAGGATGTTGTGAAGGCCAAGACTGTAACAGGGTTCAAGAAAGAACTAGATAAATTCATGGAGGATAGGTCCATCCATGGCTATTAGCCAAGATGGGCAGGGATGATGTCCCTAGCCTCTGTTTGCCAGAAGCTGGGAATGGGCGACGGGATGGATCACTTGATGATTACCCGTTCTGTTCATTCCCTCTGGGGCACCTGGAATAGGCCACTGTTGGAAGATAGGATCCTGGGCTAGGTGGACCTTTGGTCTGACACAGTATGGCAGTTCTTATGTTCTTTTAAAAATTAACGTAGGAGGTATTTTAATTATCTCAGGAAATTACAATCAGAAACATCACAACGTACTGTGAAATAGCAAGAAGAATATGAGAACAAACAGCAATATTTAATATTTGCTATGGTCTCAATAAATGTCAGTTATTCAGAGTGCTGCAGTATGGACACATTTCTACACCTTTCTACAATAGATACTTTCCTCTATTTGCTGTTGAGGATCACACGTCAAAAGGTAAAGTTGCCAGAATGTTAAATGCAGGATTTGAAAGTTTATTACCCAGATTACAGGAAACACCTGTAATTTGTGCTGATAGCCCAGTTGTGTCTGCAATAAAATAAGCTAGGTCAAAGTTTCATTGACCCTAAATACTGCAGAAATCAGGATATACTTTTGTCTCTAGCTTTGTAACTAGATTTAATTTTATTTAAAAACTTTTCAGCACATATGTGCACTGAGATGCATCTTATTTACAGACCTTTCAGTCCTGGTAAAAGAGTCAACCTAAATGAGTTCAGTGATCTCAATATCTTTGTTATTCCACCATAAAAGTAATCAGAACAATTCAGCAAACCCACTAGTTTTATTTGCTTAAAACAGCACAATAAAGACTAAACTTTTCTGGCAGTGAAAAGTGTACTCTTCAAATTAAAATGAACTGAATCTGTACGTAATGCAAGGCATCTCCTCTAGAATACTGCAGATATAAACAGGCTTAATGCTACAAGGGTCCTGAGAGGTATAGCTCTCTTAGTTCCCTAACTTTAAACTCTCACAGTTTACAGTCCAAAGAGCTTTTTATTTTAAACACAAAAAGCTCATTTATATTATATATATTTAACGCATAACAGTGCTCTGCCACGGGTTACCTGGACTTTAAATTGGTGCTAAGTAGTTTAAAGTTAACTTTCTGTCCACAGATTTTTTTTTATGATGGTCTATTCTTTGATCATTATCAAATCCTGAGTCAGTAACATTTTGACACTTCAAAGAAACAAGGAGGTAAAATTTTCAAAAGCACATAAATGACTCAGGAGCCTACGTTCTATTTTTAAGTGACATATGTCACTCATGTGACAAACTACATGTTTTTAAATGGGACTTATGCCAGGTCTACACTACAACTTGTGTCGGCAAAACTTATGTCACTCGGGTTGGGGGTATGGAAAAAACACCCTCCTGAGCAACGTAAGTTTTGCCGGCATAATTTGTAGTGTGCACATTGCTATGTCAGCAGGAGAGCTCGTGGAGGTGGTTTTATTATGTCGATGGGAGAGCTCTCTCCCGTCGGCATAAAGCAGCTACATGAGCAATGGTACAGCTGTGCCGCTGTAAGCTCGCTAGTGTAGACATAGCCTTAGACACTTAAGTCACTGTGTTGTAGGTATATTATATATTTGACTACGTCCCAATTTTGCACATCCAATTCAGACAAAATTCAGTCTTTGTCTAATCATAGCTTTTCTGCTTCTCTCACACACACCTTTACACTTTCTTCCCTGCCACATTTTATGCAAGGAACATCCATGCCTGAACTGATTTGCAAAGCCACTACCCTTTCCTAGAAGGCTTTTCAAGGCTCACTTCTGTGGTGACCCTTACGAGAAATCAGCTATTTAATAAATAGAGTAAGGGGTAGTTTGAGAAAGCTGATAATCACATTACCACCAAGCCAAAAATATAGAGCAAATATTTATATTTATATAAAAAGTTGTTTATATTACATTGTGGCACTCTCTCCCACTTTTTGTATGCTGCTCTTCATCTTACATTTTAAACTCTTTGGAGCAGGAAGCACATCTCCCTCTGTACAGCATCTACCACAACGGAACCCTAATATGCCACTACCATAATACGAATATCACACAGCAACAACAGACATAAAAATGTCTCTGTTTGAAGTCAGATACCTTTGAAGTCAGATTCTGAAAGGATTAAAAATGGGAGTTTTATATTATGAGGAAAAGGAGATTGCCAACACTTATTCTAACATTGTAAAGGCAAGATACATCAGCTATTAAAGTTGGGAGAATTTTGTGTCTTATAAATGCTTTATTAGGTCATTATAAGAGGTGTTTTATATTTATTACTTTTAATTTCTCTCTCCAAAACAGCCCTGAACAGTTGGTCTGCTAGTAAGTTACAGGCAGAGAGATACAACAGAAAGTTCACATACAACTTCTTAAACACTGTCTAAAAATTTAAAAAAATCCTAAAGCAGATTTTCTATGACACCTAAGGCACATATAAAATACATGATGGTGCGGAATAAATGTTTTACGGGTTTTCCTTGGAGATAATCTGCACAATTTTCTTGTTTACTGACCCATCCCAAAATTATTATGACAATTATTTTATACCACATCCAGTGTTCAATTTATCTACATAGAAATAGATTTGGTGGCGATATGAGAGAAATAGCATTTATTACACACCTTTTACCATTTTATTTGCACTCTGCCCATCAATCCAGTTCTATCAAAATTTCTAACATTTGAAACCTATGAACAACTTCAAACAACCACTTCTTCGTTTTAAAATAAACTTGTAAATTTTTCCTATTTTCCCACAAATACAGAATTCCCCACAAAAATGGCCTTTGTCTGGGCCCCAGCATGAATGATAACTAGTTTGCTCAGTGACAGGTAATTTGTGACCATGAAAAACTAGAAACATGTGCCTTATACCAGTGAAAAAGGAAGGTTCCTGTGACACTTATCTATCGATAAATTACTTTCATTTTTCTGGTGTGTAATATATTAGTTTCCTTCTTCACTTGAGCTCTGTATAATTGGTCTCATAGTAAAGTTGAGATTTAAGTATGTATAGCGAAAATTGTACCAATATTTTTAAAAAAATAAATAAAATGCTTTATAGTATTTAAAAAAATTCTTTTAAATATGTGACACAGAGAATACAGTTTTTGACCCCTGAAAATAATGCAACATTTCCAAACCCATGCCACTAAAGCCTTTACATCAGACCACAAAATCATGCATTCTTTCCTTCTTGCAAAACAATATCTTGTATACACACAGAGAATGATATTCACATAACTCCACCAAACCTATCTATAGGCACTGAATAAAATTATGACATAAGTAAAATCCTACACCATTGTAACACCTGAATTCAGGACACTTACTCTGGCAACTATCTTTTTATCAGATCTATATTAATGCCCTCTAAAAATAGTTATTTATAAATTACTGTTTTTTGGACCTGGGCTTTACTGATAAAGATTAAAGGGAACTAAATAAACTCTCCGAGGAAGGGACTCTCTCTATCAGGGCCTCAATGTGCTATAGTAATAATATATTAATGGATGAACTCACGGTGACGATTCCAGAATGATGCTATTAGCTTGGGTGGAGGATGGAGATCTGTGATTTGCAAAAACTTCACTTGGTGAGGTGTGAACTATGTGGTCCACTAAATGTCCAACTGAAGATGGCCGTAAACGGGCTCCCTCTTGAGTAAATGCAGAATTGCGACTAAATGAGAAAAGAATAATTAAGCAGTTAGAAAATTCTCCAAGATTGATGCTTTTAATCTGCATTGTCCTAAAACTATAAGTGTACCATTTAAAAAAATATATTTATTTTCCTTCTAGATGTAAGCATATATTCATATATATAATTTTACTGAAGAATTTAACAGTGAATTGTAATTCCATTAATTCATTTTCACTCATTCAATTAATTTTTCTTTCAATTCCATTATTTCAAATTCTCAAAACCTTTTTATTATTTCAAAAAATACTGAAACAATAACCAAATCAAAGATATTATGAAGAATGGCTTATTTATCACTTCGTAAATTGAATAAAAAACCCTCTCTTGCCATAAATCCTGAAGGTCATGAAACATGCCTGGAATACTTTAAAGAAAGGAGTTCTGCTTATAATAGTATGACCCAGTGGATAGGCTGGCAGTCAAAAGGACCGGAAGTGAAATCCTGGCTCTATTGAGGTCAATGGCAGAACTCTAATTAACTTAAACAGGGCCAGGATTTCAGCCCTGGATTCTATTCCTAACACAGTCACCAACCTTACTGTGTGACCCCATGATAGTCACACTTCAACTTCCTGCCCCAGTTGTGCCATCTGAAAAATGGGTCTTTTGACACTTACCTTCATTTTAAATGCCATGAGATTTATGGGCGAAAAGTGCTTTATAGAATCTAAGCATTATTATTAAACCAATCAATACTTTAAATGTAAAATGTTTCCGATATTAGCATAACACTCTGGAATAACTTCTAAAGACGAGACACATTCAATGAGAAATCACCATTTATGCAATACTGAACTGTTCTCATTCAGCATCACTTTCAGCAGACTAAAAGAACTGCTGTCCTATTTTGTAAAAAAAATCAAGAATGCTTTTCATTCATCATAAACAGAAAACAAGAAAGCTTCCTGATGTTTAAAAGTAAATTTTGCAGGTAAGAAAAGAAATGCAGAAAAACAGGGAAATTAACCCACTAGCATTTTTTACTGCCTATACCTGGAGCACATGTTAACAAGAGGTACTGTATTACAGAACCAAAAAGTTAAATTCTAAAATGATTCCTGAATAAAATAATTATACAGCTGACGTTTTATTAATGTCATCTCTTCAAGCCATATTTATCACCTCACATGCTCTGTTAGCACTGTCAGATATATTAGATATATTGCAATTATAATCCAGCTGTTAGCTGTCATGCAAGGAAACGCCTGGGGAAACGCCTCAAACTATTATGGTATGCCAAATGGTATGGTATGCCAAACGTTACACTTTTTTATAGGTTGGATGCTTTTGAGATGCATCTAGAATTATTATATACCAAAGAATGTCATCAAAAATAAAATTTAGAACATTGAATTCCACATAAAGGAATGTTAAGAGCTAGTTTGTAGAAATTCCCTTGTGAAACAAACAGCTTTATTTTGGTAATGAACTAATGTTTTGTTAAAGCACAGGGATAACTGACAAATAAGAGGTGAACAGGCAATGATGACTGCAGAGAGGATACACCATTCTACTTACTGATTTGGGGTTCCAGGTGGAGATCGTGATGGTAGGCTCTGTGTTTCTAACCTGTCATCAGACAATGAATTCCTACTCACTACCTCCCAGTCCATCCCACTCATCAATTTCCGTGCCAAGGGTTTACTTGGGGATCTAGAAGAATGAAGTAAACAACTGATTTGAAATTGTATCAGATAATTGAAAAATTACACAGATTACACAACAACATTTTGGAAGTTCTCTCATAAAAATCCAAAGACCATGGGAGGTAGAAAGATAAAATAAGACAGTGGCGGATTTAGAGTTAGTGGGGCCCTGTGCGTAGCTTCATTTTCAGGGGCCCCCTGGGGACACAGCCAAGAAAAATAAAGCCAGACCCCTGTCCACCCCAGGCGCAGGTCCAGACCTGGGTGTGGGCCGCAGGGTGGCAGCCGGAACCATAGGCGTGGGAACTAGGAGTGAAGGCAGGACTGCCGACAGAATTGCTGGCTCCGGGCCCCCGGAAGGAGCTGGGCTCGGGGCTAGCCTCCACCAGCCAGACCTTCAGCATTGCTTGGGCTGCGCCATCCGGGGCTTCGGCAGCGATTTAAAGGACCCGGGGCTCCAGCCCGCTGTTGGTGTTCTGCCCAGCTGGTGTTCTGCCCGCTACTCCGGGCCGGCCAGCGGGGCGGCAGTGGAGCCCACAGAGCCTGGGAGCGGAGGGCAGCAGCCGGGACTTGGGGCGGCAGCCCATGAGTGGAGCTGCCATGGGGCTGGAAAAGGAAACAGAAGACATCAAGATCTTCATGGCTGAGGACAGCTTCGGGTGCCCCGGCAGCCTCACTCTGGCCGGCCCAGAGAAGCAGACAGAAACCCACATGGACTGAACACATATCTGAAGGTGGGGGGGGAGGGGCACGACTCCATCAGCGGCCACCTGAGCGCCCCACTGCCTCCGCACGCTGATCTCTGCTCGCCTCCCCTGGCCGCTGGGTCCTTGCAAAGCAGGCAGTTGCGATCCCTCTTAGCCGCCGCGCTGCAGCCCCTGTTGCCGGGCTTGGGCACCTCCCTGTCTCCCCAGGAGCCCGGGCTGTTGAGCTAACAATATGTTTTAACGTAAGTGGCATGGGGCAGCAGCCCAGAACCTGGGCGGCAGCAGAGCCCGCAGGGCCCCGGGCACCAGCCAGGACCCTGGGCGGCAGCAGAGCCCACAGAGCCCTGGGTGCCAGCCAGAAGCCCGGGTGGCAGCGGACCCTGCAGAGCCCTGGGCGCCAGCCGGGACCCTGGGCGGCAGTGGAGCCCCGCATAAAATGTGGGGATGCTGCAGCACCCCCCGCACTGCTAGTTCCCACACCTATGTTTTGGGCCCCCCCTGTCATTGGGGGCCCCGTGCCACGGCATGGTATGTTTCAGGGTAAATCCGCTCCTGAAGTAAGATAAAGATTTCATGAGGAAAATAGAAGAACTTTCAATATGAATTCATCATGCTGTATTTCCTGTGTTTACTATAAGAGAATCTAACTTTCCCTGCATAATATAATAGCTACAATTGATATTATTTAACATTTCTGTTATTTAAGTTAGTAAAACAATTTGGATGACATACTAACTGGTATTAACAGGATTTGCTGAGGTGCTTTCTATAGAACTAAATAAGGTATTAAAATTTGGTCCAGATATAATTAACACCAACACACCTTGCTTTCAAGCTAGTGCAGTAAAAAGTCTTCAAAAATGAGCTTGGCATAAAAGTTAACATTAAGAGAAAATACTATTTTTTCCAAAATAAAAAATGAACTTAATTATGATGCTCTGAAAAAAGCTATAGGAAACGAATAGATGGTAATTACAAAAACAGAGGGAGAATTTACAAACTAAAAACAAAGACATTATATCAAATTTTGGATTAGAAGAATTTGAGGTTTCATTGCAGCTAAGAATTTGAACATTTACCACACAGTTACAAGAACTCATTTTCACATTCATTAGTGTGCTTAAACCATTCATTTTAAAAAGGAGACAGTGCAATTCTTTTCTTTTCAAAACAATATTGCTCTAAACCACCTAATTTGTAGATACTAAACTTTGAAAACCGTCCTCAACACTTTATAGGCTGCAACAGATTAATACAACTTTTTCTAAGATAAGAAAGCTCATGTTTTTTTTTTAAATCTAAAAACAATATCACTCAAGAAAAAAAAACTCACCTTATTTACTGTACTCAAGTTCTGATCTCTTGGAATACTACTCTCTGCTACCATCATAGACAACTGAAGTGTTTATCAGCAAAGTTTAGATTCAAATATTTTATTTTAATAACAGTTCTAACCTCAGAGTCCCACCCACTTATGCTTGCTGTCTCCGTTTCCTGTTCTTTGGGGAAATTTCGAAGAAAGAGTTACCACACTGCAGCATGAGCTTTTCGATGCTGTGGCTTTTTGGTTTCTGACCTGAGTGCTAATTTTCAATACCTCTATGTCTAACTTTACACAATCTCTCCTGGATAACTTTTAGGTATAATCTGAAATATTTTAGCTATTGATTTAATTCATCTGCATCACTTTAATTACTGACATTATTCAAAATAACTTCTAATGCTGGGAGGAGGTAAATCACCAAACCATTGTAAATGCTTGTATGGCCTTTGAAAGTTCAGTAGAATCCTGAATCTGGATGTCTCAGTGGATGAGTTTTCATCTCCATTAAAAGGAATAGCCATTTGTAGTGAGGCGGAGTGGCCTCCCTTTGGACTTGAGAAAGAAGGACCACTACCCTCCCCCTGGTGGGCGGAGCCAGACCTGCCCCTCCCCCTTGCCAGAAGTACCAGGGCGGGACAGGAAGTATAAAGAGAGGGCCCTGAAGCTCAGTTGGGCAGAAGCCAAGGAAGGAGACAGACCTCTCCAGTCTGCTGCCGACCCTGGGGAGAAGTTGCCGGGACTGCCGTCTAAAGACTGCTCTGCCCCACCGAAGGGGGCGAGAGCATCAGACTGTTACTGCTTGTTCGCCTCTGCTAGGGAGTTACAGAGCTATAGACTTCTTACAAATCAGCGACGCCAGCAAGACCTGAGCCCAAGTGCTGTTGCCTGATACAGCAAGGTGGAATGGCCTCCATCCCCACTTGAGAGTGAGGGACCACTACACCATTTAACACAGTTCACTACCCTTAAGATTTAATCCTGCCGCCCAGTCAGTCTGCAGAATCAGAGATGTTACTAAACAGATCCATGGAGTTGGGAAGAGGCACTATCTGAACAGGGATAAGGACTGACCTTTTTACCTGCCCAGCCAAACACAGGGGCAATTGTGGAGAAACCCAGCATGGAACCACGGCATGTAGGAAAATTATGAATTAATAGCCAGGAACATGAAATTCATAACACCTGAGGAGAGGCTGTAAGCTGCTAGAGCTTCAAATAGAGAATCAGCCCAAACACACACAAGATTTAAGCAGCACTACAGCACCTGACTGCACCCCCTTTAAGCAGAATTACTGCTCATGTTAAGCAAGAGAAGGTTACTTACTGTAACCGGAAGTTCTTCAAGATATGTGGTTCCAATCTGGATTCCAAACATGGGTGCACATGCATGCCATTGCCAGAGACATTCATAGTAGTGTCCGTTGACCCACACGTGCATCGGCTACGTGGCATGTCTGAGGCTTTAAAGAGGCTGCCGGGGTTGATGCCACTCCAATTCCCTCTTGCCAGGCAATAGGAGAGCCCGGAGTAGAGGGGATGAAGGGCAGGACTGAAATCCAGATAAGGACCACACATCTTGAAGAACCTAGTTACAGTAAGTAACCTTCTCGACTTCGAATGCTGGTCCCTATATGGATTCCAAACAAGGGATAGCAACCAGCAGTATTCAGCATGGAGGCTCTCCAGCAATAACAGTTCAAAGGACAGCATGGCCAACTGCCACATCTGCTGTTGTAGGGGTTAGACACAATGATCAGTAAAGGTGTGAATGGAGGACCAAGTGGCCGCTCTACAAATATCCTGACACGGGATGCCCGCAAGGAAAGCCGACGTGCTGCATGAGCCTGTGTCGAGTGGGCTGTGACCAATGGAGTGGGGGGGTAGAACACCAGAGAGTGCATAGCAGTCAGTGATGCTGTGGGAGACCCAGCAGGAAAGAGCGTGGCCACGATGGCAATGAAGAGACAAGGGGTGGTGCGGAAGCCTCGGGCGCATTGGAGGTAAAAGGCCAGTGCTTGGTGTACATCAAGGGAGTGTAGCATGCACTCCTTCTAGAGGCATGTGGCTTAAGGTAGAAGGTGGGTAAGTGCACACGCTGGTTGAGGTGAAATGAGGAGACCACTTTGGGAAGGAATTTGGGGTGAAGACATAGGGAGACCTTGTCATGGTGAAAGGTGGGTCTGCCATCACGGCAGCCAGTGGTGGCTGTGGGCTTGAGTGAGGAGATTGGGGAGCAAGGGTAGGGGAATTGGGGGATTAGTGAAGAGATGAAGGAGGTCTGGAAAACAATACTAGCGGGGCCAAGCAGGGGCCACAAGGAGAACAGTCCCTCAATCCTGGTGGATTTTGCTTAGGATCAGGGGAAGCAGGAGAATGGGAAGGCATAATAGAGCTCCACTGGTCAAGGGAATGAGAAGGGCATCTCCCTGCGAACCGGGACCAAGGGCTCCCCAGGAGCAGAAGAGGGGGAGTTTGTGGTTGGTCAATGTGGAGAAGAGGTCCCATCGAGGAGTGCCCCACTCATGGAAGATGGAGCAGAGAACAAGACTGTGGAATTCTCATTTCTGGTTTGCATGTAAGGAGTGACTGAGTTGGTCCACAAGGGAGTTGCTCATGCCAGTGCCAGATTAAGACCTTTAGAGGCCCTAAGAACTGAAAAGATTATGGTGTCCCCCCCGCCCATATGTAATTCAAAATAAAAACAATACTATACCGTAAAATAATTTTTTATTTTTTTGTAATGACACAAAACTTACATGTATGCTGAAATTAAAATAGTTTCTTTCTAGATTTTCTGATTGCAAAATTCTGGATATGTTCATCGAAGCTGACTCAACGAAGCATATCCGCTTCCATACACAATAGGGAAAGTGAATCAAGTCTGTCCTGACACATTGTTGTTCTCTGAAGGTTTTTTATTCTTTTCAGCTGAGAAAAAGAGCGTTCTGCGGAGCAGCTAGTAATCATCAATGTTAG